AGAGAGAGAGAGAGAGAGAGAGAGAGACGGAGGGGTTGGGAGGGGGTAACGTATATGAAAAGGATTTAGTAGAAGAAAATCCACGCTGTTACAAACTTTTTAAATGTAAGTCTGAGTTTCAAGATATTGATTGAAGTCACTGAAATAGGGATAAAAACGAACTTGGTCGGCACGAAACAAGAAATACTGCTACGGCATACTAAAAAACAAAAAGAAAGTGAGAAGCTTAGCCCTGCCCCCTGTACGCTACCTAAAGACTTACTTTCCACGCACACACTCAAAGTCTCGACGTGCACTCGCCATGTAAAAATATGAAACCCGTTTGCTGGCAATTGATGCCTCACCTATGACGCTGTCCCATTCAGATGAAGTCTAGAACCAGATACTGTACACTGCATTAAACTTACAGCCACACCCACATTGAACAGATTTAGCGCACAACAATTTCAAATCATATTCAAACATTTTTCTCTTCAGTCCAATCCCCTTAGTTCTCAGAACACTGTTCTAATTTCTTTGTGGGGCACTATGTCGAATGCTGTTCTTTCTCCTTTTTTCTTGGTGGATATCATGCATTTAAAGACATAAAACGTATAAAACTAATCAAATAGCATGTAACGTAACAAAGGTAACCACAGTTGATGAAACACACATCAAATATTAGATAACATGGCAACTTCAAAGGAAACAAGATGGCCGCAATCTAGTTTTCATAAATGTGCTAATCCGAAAAACACTTGAAACCGTCCTATTGAAATCACTAAAATCAAATCGTTTCACAGGGAGAAAACGAAATTTGCGCTCTTAAGACCTTATGCAGTTGCGAGTTACTAAAAAGAAACAAAGGGAAAAAACACTGGGACACTCATCACTGTCTTCTGCTAGTTCCCACATCAATAGTGTCTGAAAGGCGTCTGAAGATAGTTCATGCATTTTCAGAGTCATGAGGGAGGGGGGACAATGACAGTCATTCAGTTACTGCAGGCAATTCTTCCTCTGCATTTCTAAAATGTTGTAAACGTGATATATGTTTTGGTGCAGGTGCAATGTGCTGTACTGCATCCAGTCAAACAACTACAACTGACCAGATTGAGAATTTCATCAGGAGCTGGCAGTTGAGCATCAAGTCCAAGAGCAGGGCGGAGTGTTGACTGATGTAACTGCCATCCATACTCAACAAGATCCAGCTCCGGAGGAGATGGCTCCCCTGCCACTTGCCACAGCACAGCCTGAAAGTAGTGAAAGTGCACTCGTTTGAGGTGAGCCTGAAAATTTGCCAGCGTCGGAGAAAGGCTGCTCAGTTTCGGGTGAATATATCTCTTTTCAGCATTCCTCTTCCTGAAAATGCTGGCTTGAACTGTGTTGAGATTGGCCCCTGACTCGTCCCCATAGAGCAGATTAGTGAACTGAAGGCATGACTCCGAGATTTCCTGGAAAGGTACAGACATCTTCCCAAATTTATGTTCATCGGAGAATACTTCAAGTTTCTTGGGGACTGTCATCTTTCCAATTCCAGGAAAGGTAGAAACTGTGTCACAATCACTCAGGGTATCAGCTGCCAGCAGATTAGGCAGTATGGTTACACATTGTCTGATGACGTCGTTGACACTTATGATTTTATGTGTGGATACGCACGACTATACGCAGAGTCATATTTTGGGACATTCCTTCGGTCCTCGTGTAGAGATGATGGTCCACAATGGCAGCTCCTTCATGATACAGAGGGTCTTGCTGAAGTCCAGATCCCACGTGTACAGGATGTGGATCTGGCCCAGTGATGACAACATCTGTTCCTGGTGGAGTTTGCATGCTGCAAAGACAATGTACAATCATAATTTGTGTTGGTTGCTTGCTACTTTTAGCATGGCACTTGGCTGTGGCTCGGGTGACTCTTCAGTCAGGCTGTACACACGACTTCAGACGGGATTTTCGACAGCACGACTTTATGCTCAGTCTGTAGTATCGTTCAAAGACCACATATGCTACTGATGCTGACTGAACTCGTCGCAAAATGGTTTCAACTGTGGTTGTGATGAAAGCCGAGACTTTGGCTGACGCTACAGGCCAAGGTACTGTCCACAAAACCGCACAACAATCCAAGATGAAAACAGTGCATGTTTGTGGAATAACTGCTGACTATACACTTAACATTGTGGCGAGTCATTGCTGCTGGCAGTGTAGAATCCAATTTGGAGTCTGTGGCTGCAAGGAGCGATAGCAAATTTGGGCAGCACTTATTCATGACAAATCCCCTAAGCAGACGAATTGGCTACGTATGGCAGTTGGGCTTTGCACATTCTGCTTTGATCACGCTAACCAAGCATGATATGGCTCGTTCATTGCAGTCTTCTTTATCATCCACTATACGCATCTGGGCTGAAGCCGTGCTTCTGAAGACGAGGATGGAAGCCACACCTGGAGAGGACATAATCGGCAATTCTGGATGTAGCTTCTCAGATACATGGTTCAGGAGTGTACGTCGCGATTTGTCCTTCCCTCCAAGTTCAATATCATAGCGTTCATGAACTTAAACACTATTTCACATGCGTGATATGTTTGATCTGTTCTCCTCAACCAGCATACTGAAGGTATTGTCATGTATTGTAGGAGAGCTAGTTGATTGCGTTGGATTGTTTGTGTAGAACCCGGAGTAGCTGTCTCTGTGATACCTAGCGTCTGCAGCATGCCGATTCCTTCACGAAAATTAAACGAACTAGTACTGCCCCTAAGACGTTTGGGTTCATCTTCAGAAAGCTCCCCAGTCTGTCTCTTTTGTAAAAGTCGCTGAATATGGTCTTTGGAACAATATGTGCCCGCTCATACAGTTCTTGTGACACAGTATAAACTCTTGTTTGTTTGTTTAGTATAAGGTTTTACGGCGCTCGCAACTGCATAAGGTCATATGAGCGCGCGGGACACACCTAATACTTTTTCGTTGGTAGGAAATTTTTGAATTTTGCCCGGGTGGCGGCCGAAGCCTACTCTTATCGATTTTAGACCACCAAGGGATCTTTAACGTGCGCAACTTGCACACGGGCCCTCCGAGATTTTTCGCCCTTGTCCGAGAAGGCTAGGTGTAGATCTTTCCTTCCAGAAGATCAGGGGTGTGGTAGAAAGACAGCAGTTAGGAGGAGCCAAGGAGTAGCAGTAGAAAGGCTGCAGAAAGAGTCAGGAGCCCAGAGGAGAGGGCAAAGGAGGTGAGGGGGTGGGGCAGAAAGTGGAATTGAAAGCAGACAATAGAACATTGTATAAACTCTGTATCTTCTGGAAGTTTCTGACTGAGTTTATCATCTCGTTTCCGGCTTACTTCCTCAAAACCACTAATCCGTCTCCATGTCTAAGAGAGAGAGAGAGAGAGAGAGAGAGAGAGAGAGAGAGAGAGAGAGAGAGAGAGAGAGAGAGAGAGAGAGAGAGAGAGAGAGAGAGAGAGAGAGAGAGAGAGAGAGATAATAAGTTTTTTCTTTGTGGATTTTATGCTAAACAAATTCCTTATGAATGAATTATATCTGTTCCAAGGGACAACCTTCAAGTAAAAAGTTTGTGCGAGATATTTTGAAAGAAAGTTGTACAGTTTTTAGAAAAAAAGTTGTACAGGTTTTAGGGGGGATCACCCTGTATATATAATATGTAATTAAAGTATATAATATATATATATAATATACGTGAGTGTGTGTATGTATGTATGTGTGTGTGTGTGTCTGTCTGTGTGTGTGTGTGTGTGTGTGTGTGTGTGTGTGTGTGTGTGTGTGTGTGTGTGTGTGTGTGTGTGTGTGTGTGTGTGATATTATCAATATTAGTATTATTTTTTTCGTTATTGCTATTATCAATAATATACATGTATTATTATAACTATGATTATAAACTTTCCTTTGTCTGTCTACAGTCTTCGGGACTCCCTGGCTCACCTTCTCTCTATCACAAATGGCGTAGTGCACTACTTACTGTGATTCGCAATACCTCCTTGTGACATCATGAAGAAACGTCTAGTTCAAGCCACTGGTCTGGCTATGCTGGCAAGTGTGGTCACTTTCTGTTTGCTCAACGGTTAGTATCTATGTTTTAGTTTTTGTTGCTGTCATTGTCATCACCACATTGCAATCATCATCATCATCATCATCATCATCATCATCATCATCATCATCATCATCATCATCATCATCATCATCATCATCATCATCCTCATCATCATCATCATCATCATCATTATCATCAGCATCCTGCAAGGCAGTGTCAGCAACAGCAGAGGCGTCGTTAAATTATAAACATCCTTCGTTATTGTCATAGTAGAAAAGGAGTGGGGGCGAAGAGTCTTAAGTAAATTATGGTCAGCCAATAGCCAGTAACACAAATTAAAAAATGTTGCATTATATTAAAATACCTCGACGTTTTACCTAGGAGGCTTTTTCGAAAACAAATGAGAGTAAAACTATAGTGCGGTCAAAAATTTGTTGCACAACGTAGGACCTATCCTGAAATATCTCTTGGACGCGTGAATTAATGACACCCATACTTTGCACAGCATTTTGTATCGACGTGTCTTAATAGTCTGGCAGATTTAAGAAATCGCAAGGAAATAAAAGCAAAAGAAACACAATGAAATGCAGTTGATAGAGAAAATCATCGTATCTAAAGTACTCAAAATGTACATTAATGTACGAATGGGAAAGTTTTTTCATTTTCAATGAAAACACGAACATATACGTGTGGCGTTCTAGCCTAGTGGTAAAGGCGTCAGACTTTTTTTGACTAGTTGTAAAACATTTTTACCAGGGTTCAAACCTGTGTGTCTCCTTTTTTGTTTTGCGGTATTTTTTCTGTTTTTTTAATTTCAATTTTTTTTCAGCTTTTTTCTTTTTTCTTTTTTTTGGGGGGAGGTTTTTTTTTCTATTTTATTTTTCGCCTCTGGCTTCAGTACATGGATATGATTGACATTTTGAAACGCTTCCTTAAGAGCCGAAGGTTCAGGTGACTGGTGGTTACATTTGCAATCCTTGCAAGACATGCTCCCCTTCCTTGCTGCTGCCGGGCACTCACAGTACACCAAGTCGGTCTATATCTACCTTCAGAAGATGAGACAGCTTGAAGAACAGCACCCTTCAGTTTTCAATGCTTTCTCGTGTGGCTTTCACGTTCTGGGTCGAAGTGATCGCTTCTGGGCTGGACTGAGTACTGATCTCGTGATTGAGCAAGTCTTATTAATGAAAAACCCAAAGTCTGCAGGAGGACTGACGCATGGTAGAGGCATGGGGGATACACAGAGAACACGGCTCATGTCCATGCCAGCTTGTGCTGATATATGCTATGAAATGCAGCGGGTTACTGGTACAGAATTAAATACAAGTCAACAAGATATTGAAGTCAGTGATGCCAGACAAACGAGAAATGATAAAGAGATGAGACTGCTCCTTAGTTTCCTAAAAGACCGCAACCCCTTTGCCAGTGATCAGACATTACGGAATATATGCACAGGGGTGACAGCTCATTCCACAGTTAATGCCGACTCTGCAAAAGATGTTGGCAAGGTAATTTTGCAGACCATGCTGGGTAAACCTGTGAAGGACTCCACCTTGAAAAGAAAAGACCAAGTTGTTAGCATGGACACCAAAATCACTGCCAAAATGGAGGGTGAAAACATACAAAGTCAATCCTCAACTTCTCTTTCAGCGGATGATTACAGCAGCAAACGTTGACGATTATTATCTCCCATCTTTGTTGAAGTATGAACTGACGACTCCACCACCATCTCTCTTTGAACCATCAGGATTGATGAGAGAGGCACACAAATCCAAGCTGGCTGATTCAATGAGAGACCTCTTCAAAGATGATCCACCATCGAAAGATGAGTACATCGAGATGGTGACCATATTGGACGGGGGTTCAAGTCTTCACAAAATTCCATGGAGGAAGAAAGAGCCCGTTTCCGTAATTTGTAATAGGTATGCTGAATATGTTAACAGGAAATATGCTAAGCCCATCGTGGTGTTTGATGAGTATGAGTCTGGCCCATCAGTGAAAGATGCCGCTTTCCTCAGGCGTTCTGCAGGTGTTGTCGGACCAGCTATTGTCTTCACCAAAGAAATGCCATTGACCTCAAGCAAGAAACACTTCCTTTCAAATCCAAGGAAAAAACAAGAGTTCGTTCACCTCCTTAGAGGCAATCTGATGGCTCTTGGTTGCCACTGTCTTCACGCTGCTGGAGATGCCGACACCCTCATAGTAAAAACTGCCATGGAGTATGCAGCAACCCACCCTGTAGCTGTCATTGGAGAAAATACAGACTTGCTTGTGCTCCTTTGTCACCATGCACAGCTCAGTAGCAGGCTTATTATCTTCAGATCAGACAGAAAAGCTGGTGACAATCACAAAAGTTTAAACATCCAGAACCTGCAGGAGAAACTAGGCGAAAAAACGTGTTATTTTCTTCATGCTGTCAAAGGCTGTGATTTAACTTCGAGACTTTTTGGGCTGGGAAAAATGGTTCCAATGAGAAATTGACAGATGCTCATTTTCGAAAGCGAGCTCATATTTTTTGCAAAGCAGGAAAGACTCAGAAAGACATCAGTGATGCTGAAGAAAGAGCTTTAGTCAGTCTCTACAATGGCACTGCTGCAGACACCCTTTGCCAACTGCGTTACAAAAAGTTCTATGTAAAGGTTGCATCATGTGCCACATCCGTCCAAATCCAATGCTTGCCGCCAACCAGTACTGCAGCCAAGTACCACAGTCTTCGGGTGTATCTTCAAGTGCAGGTATTATTCAAGACACAATGGGGATGGCAGCTGCACGATGATCACTTAGAGCCATGCACGACAGATATGCCACCTGCCCCACATTCTCTGTTGAAGGTGACTAAGTGCAGCTGTAGAACAAATTGTAAGTCCACAAATTGCACGAGTCGTCGCCACGGACTGGAATGCTCCATTTCCTGTGGAGGTTGCATGGGTTTGTCCAGCACAAATTGCCCATCACTTACTGAGGAAGATGATACCAGTCTCCTGGAGTTTCTTGCCGGGCTTGATACTCTTGAAATACCGAACATGATGAACGTGCACGATCTACTGTTGTGAAATTCCATTTGGTGTGTTTGTGTTCCTATTTGACCTCCAAGCTTTTTCAATAGTACATATTCAAACAGCATTTTTGTCGAGCTTTCAAACGAGGTGCAACATGACTATGTTCTAAAAGATATTTTTTATAAAGTTGACCCCGATGACGTCATGAGCTAAAAAATAGCATTTCCCATTAATGCGTGAATGTACATTTTTGATATGTTGAAAGTGACCTAATTCTATGTACATCCCAATACTTTTTGTTTCTTTTGCAATTGTTTCCTTTCTTCCAGTATGTTTGTCGTTCCTCTCCTACACTATAACTGAATCAAATTTTCCCACAACAATTGAGTTTAGATTTTTAAAAATTCTTTATAAATTTATAGGAAGTGCTATAAATCTCCGTCACGCGTGAAATGGGGTTGTACACAGCATTTCCCACCTCTCACTCACATTTTGCCTACGCATTTTGGCCTACGTCACAGCTTACAAAAGACACTTTTCAGTGGTAGAACCTATCACCATAGAGGTTATTATAACCTGTTTGCCCGACACTAAAAATTGTATTTTATAGTGAACACTTTTTGGCTTCTTAAGGACTGGTGGGGCACCTGAGGTCTATTTTGGCTATTACAAGGCCTAGAGTGCCCATATTTGCTGTGGGACATCGTGTGTTATTTGGGATTTTAAATTAGTAGTTCAAAAAGTATAGTGTGAATTGGTTGCTATGGAAACAGCGGCCATATTGGATTTTGTATACCTTTTTCAATCCCATTTTATTCCCTTATTTATCAACCGATTTACTTCTAATTTGGCATGCCAACAGTAAATATGTAGCTCTTAAATTTGGCTTGTTGAATTTTTTATATATGCTTCAGTTTTTATTTTATGACACTTACAATTGGGATGTTGCAAAAAAAGTGAAAACAAGGAAAAATGCATGCTTACTAAGCCCATAAATCAAAAACTACCCCATTAATAAAAAAATTCAGCAAGCCAAAATTTAGAACTAGGTGTTGTTGGTATCCTGTGAAAGTTACATTGAAATTGAACCATAAACAGAGCAGAAAAATGGAATAATGTATGAAAAAATAGAATTGTGAGAAAACAGCTGATACAGGTAAGAAAAGGCTAGAAAACATGTGCTTTCGCAGAAAAACCTGACAACAAAACACAACTTTAGGGTGTAGCAAGGCATACATACGTTTCTGGATATTGTTCAGGATATGTCCAGGTACTAAAATATGTAATAAACCCAATTTGCAAAATTTGACCCCACGACCCGATTTATAGGTGCCCCACCAGCCCTTAAAAATGTTTTCAATAGCATAATATTGCGATTAGAAATAAATGACAGACTTATTTTTACAAGCTACATTGTCCAAGCTGAAAGGTTTTTATAATCTTTAGAAACCACCCACTGGGATTTTTAAATAGTCTTTATTAATAAGGAATTTTCTAAAATACAGCTGACAGATGTCTACAAATATGTCGATCCATTAAGACAAATTGATACTAATTGTGCAAAAGCTGGAGAGTTTTTATATATGCTAGATGATTTACGAAATATTTGACAATGAGTTGCGCTACCAATTTCTGACCATCATTTTTGCAGGGCCGTACCAGTCCATCCCCTAAAAGATAAAGACATATTAAAAGGGTGTAAACAGTTATGTTTATAGAACCCCAAAAAAGCGTGTCGGATTTACATGACATTCGAAAAGAGGAGAGGAAAAAGGAGAATAGAGAAAAATGGAGGCGGGATGGGATTTTTTTTTGGGGGGGACATTATATTAACTTTAGGAGGTCAATGAAACACACGTATGGCAAGTAAATAGAGCTAATGTTTGGTACACACCTCGCTGTTCTCTGTTAGAACAGGCCGGGAGTGACAGGAGGTGTATTATTCTGAAAGGGTGCGTGTGTGTGTGTGTGTGTGGCTATGGGGGGCTGGGGAAGAGAAGGAAGATTAATTATTATTAAGTTGTTACATTCTTCTTCTTCTTCTTCTTCTTCTTCTTCACGAGATTGCAAAAAAACAACAACAAAAAAACAACAAGGTTTTAATTATGATTCGGCCAAAAATCGAACTCGCACCTCCCTGATCTCGCTTTGGTGTCCTGATCACTACGTACCGAGTGATATTATATATATATATATATAATATATATATATATATATATATATATATATATATATATATATATATATATATATGTATATAATATTTTTATATATATGTATATATTATATAATAGATATTTATATTTGTGTATAATATATAAATATACTATTACAATACGTGTGTATATATTGTTATCATTATCATTATTATGATTTTATAATTCATTATAATAATGAAGGTGATTATTATAATTATAGTAATAATAATAGTAGTAGTAGTAGTAGTAGTAGTAGTAGTAGTAGTAGTAGTAGTAGTAGTAGCTGTTTTGGTAGCAATAGTTGTAGTAGTAGTAGCAGCAGTAGCAGCAGCAGCAGCAGCAGCGCTGCTGCTGCGAAAACGATAATGATGATGATAGGAAGAGCTTTTGAAAGGCAAATAATTAAACTCCAAAGCAGGTCCAAGAATTCTCAAAATTATTCTTGTCTTCCAGGGAATGACACATTGCTAGCAGCTGATTAAGTGCTAAACAATTATGAGCGGACATGGTCTGTCGCTGGCTCTAGCCGGGTACAATTCCAATGCGGGTGAAGAGAAGAAAAGTTGTGTAAACTGCCCTTCCGAAAGCACAACGTGTTTTTACCGTGGGGTGCCTTTCTTTAGGATTAGGGAATCTCTCCTCTGTCCAGCTTTTTTTTATAGAGAGCTATAACAATAAGGTTTTTGAGTGCTTTCAGAATGTACCTGGAAGGCTCTTATATAATATAATGACTTATGATCTTTTTATGGTTTTTATCATTCCGTCTTTTCCACCTCAAATTAATGACCTTTAAGAGTCACCACATGTGCCTTTTTTGGGTAAACAAGTCAGCTGACTCGGCCCAGTTTCATGTCTAGTCGTTAAACTCATTTTCTTACTGGTCCATGGCCCCACTTTCACCATGGGCGTGTGGGAGGGGGGGGGGGGCTGTCGTGGTCTATAGATTAGGGTATTTGCCTCTCCTTCAATAGGTCCCGAGTTTGAATCCGGATAGCCAAGGAAAGTTTTCTTCTCTAAAATGTTCTCCTTTCACCTCCTTTCTTGATCTCTAGCAATGTTCTATTGTCTGTTTTAGCAACACTTTCTGACTCCACCCCCTCATCTCCTTCTCCCCGTCCTCTAGGCTCCTGACTCCTTTTGCTGCCTTTTTGCTGCTACTACCTGGCTCCTTCTTGATGCTGTCTTTGAGTCACACCCCTGATTTTATGGTCGGTAAGATCTAACACCTAACCTTCTAGTATGAGGACGAAAAATCTCGGAGGTCCAGTGTGCAATTTGTGAACGTTAAGATCCCTTGGTGGTCCAAAATGTTCTACCAACTGAAAATGTATGGTGTGTCCCGCGCGCTCATATTACCTTAAAGGGGGGGGGGGGGGGGGGGCTACACCCCCAAAATAAAAATTTGGCTAAAAATTTGAGTTGTAGGCATTTTTAGCATCCTCAGCCTCTCCTACAACTATTTCATGGCATAAGAACGCCCAAAAACCGTTTTTTTTACCCATACCGGGCATGTTTGTAACCGCCATTTCCTCATAAAGTCAGTATTTTATTTTTCTTTATTGGCCGCTTTCTCAAAATGCGACTTTTCTCTATACATTTTTGAATAACTCCACCATTTTTCATCTAATCTTCATGAAATTTTCACAGAATGAAGAAAAGAGGTAATACTAAATTTGTTTGTTGAATTTTTGATATATGGAATAGATTTTTGTTGGTGGTGTCTGGAGTGTGGATTTTCACGGATTTTTCGCAAACTTGAATGCTACCTCAGGAAAAAATTCATTAAAAATTTTCTAATTCGATTAAGAAAAAAACAACAGACAAATTTTTAGATCTAATGTTTGTGAACAGGCATGCATAAAAACAATCAATTTCCATTAGCGATAAGTGCGGTATTCATTACGTAATACATGTCAACAAAATCCAATATGGCGGCGTATCCATGGAAACGAAACGTTTTCCTCAAATTTGATTGCGGATTTTAAGACTCCTTACTATGCTTGTTATATGTGTGAAATTTGGTAAAATTCGGGCCAGAAATAAACGAGATAGCCTCCAGGTGTAGCCCCCCCCCCCCCCCCCCCCTTAAGCAGTTGCGAATGCCGTTAACACTTTTCTTTTTTAAAACGAAAAGAAAACTTCCACTGTCAGTCTAAACGGGTCAGAGAGGCTGCCCGACAATGACCTCTCCTACAAATGTGTCTAGTCATCATGTTGTCACGCTTTGCGAATCCTAGGCTCAAGAGACTCACCCTTGGTGAACAATGGGCAAACATCAAGAACACGTACAGTAGCTTATACTGGGGTTAACTTTACAGTGGCATCAACTGATCGAAAAGCAAAACAGTAAAAGTTGACAAAATTAGCATAAAAAATCAAACAAATTTTAAAGACCCCCCTCAAAAGAAAAGAAACAGTTCACCAAGAATACACCCATAGCCAAAAATTAGAAATAAGAAGACCAGAAAAAATAGTTTCTTAAAGGAATAATGAATAAAAGCAACATAGCTTAGACAGCTGATTCAAAACGTTATCAAAGACGCCACAGTTAAAATACAGAGAGAAGGGATTACATTATGTTCAAAATGGGTCTTTTCATTTTGTCTTCCGACAGGATACCTAAACGATCACAAAAATGTCCCGGCGACAAGCCCTCGTCACATTGGCCGTGTTCACCAATCGTCCGAGACAACACTATCAAGACTCACATTCCAACACCAAGCATTTAACCAAAGCAACACTGAAGTGGATTCTGACATCATAACAGAACAGAGCACAACCAAACACAGTACCCGACATCTTCTGCTGACGTTTGAGCCTTATGGCCGTCTGGGCAACGCCATGTTCCAGTACGCTGGCCTTTTAGGCATTGCCAAAATGAACAACAGGACTCCTTTTGTCCTTCCGGGCTCCGTGCTGACTAGAAATTTTAATTTGTCCAACGTGAAGAGTGTTGCTCATCTTGAAAGATGGCTACATTTAGGGGAGCCCAGATACGCCGCATATAACCCAGCTTTTAAAAATCTTCCTGAAGAAAATCTGGTTCTTCAGGCGTATCTTCAATCGTACAAATATTTCTATAACATTTCCAGTGAAATAAAGCGGGAATTCCACTTCCTGGATCGCACGGACAAAGCGGCGAGGAAGCTGGTTACGTCATCAATGCCTTCTGGGGGTGATTGGATTACCGTCGGTGTGCATGTCCGGAGGGGAGATAAACTGACTCGGAAGGAGTTGACGCTAGGCGAAGTGATACCGACTCGGTCCTACTTTCGCAAGGCCATGGATTGGATGAGAGACAAACATGGTCACGTAGTGTTTCTGGTCGCGACAGACGATACAGTGTGGACCAAAGCCAACGTTCTGGGTTCTGATGTTGTCCTTTTGCCTTTGGCTTCTGCAGACGTGAGCTCATTTGCCATTTACAGAAATAGACGATGTTTTCTTCTGGTTTCAGGAGGGGGATTGCAGTGGGGAGAATATTAGTGCCTGACAATTGTCGGAATAGCATGCGAATTGGAGTGTGTGTGTGTGGGGGGTTATACATGCGTTTGTATGGGTGTGAACATGTTTTGCTATTGAGTATATATCTGCTATGTGCATGACTGCGTACAAGCATAAAGGGGAATAAAATAATGAATGTGCATGGCATTGCACCCATTTGTGAGCTTATAACCTCATACATGTATACGTCTCTACATTTATCGATATGTAGGTACACTCTTCTTCTTCCTTCTCTTTCCTTCTTCTTCCTTCTTTTTCTTCTTCCTTCTTCTTCTTCCTTCTTCTTCTTTTTCTCTTCATTGAAAATGCAGCTCGTTATGTCTAATAGTTCAATCATATTTTCATATAAACCCCAAAATCCTCAAAGTTCAGTTTTGACTAAGAAATGTTTTCATTCGCAGGTGCATATGGCAGCTCTATCCAAGTGTAACCACGTCATAATGTCTGTGGGAACGTTTGGCTGGTGGGCTGGATATTTCTCCGACGGTGACGTCATCTACTTCAACACCACCATGAAGACGGGCTCTCCCAAATCACGAGGTTTTGCGCCCCAAGACTTTTTCCTGCCTTACTGGATTGGAATGGGAGACTAACCAATAACAATAATTACACTAACAGAAACAACAACAACAGTAACAACAACAACAACTACTACAACAACCACAACAACCACAACAACAACAACAGCAGCAACAGCAGCAGCAGCAGCAGCAGCAGCACTAGCAGCAGCAGCAAAAACAGCAACAACAGCAATAACAAAACATCAACAGTAGCATTCAAAACAGCACACACTTCACAAAATGAAAAAAACAAAAACAAAGCAACAAATACAATGCACTATGTATTATCTTTCTGTTTCCCTAACAGTTTATGCATTTGTCATTTTTATTAATGTGCGCACTTTGACCACCTTTAAGAGGCCTATTTTTTCAAACCGGCCTCCTACACATATTTCCAATCGGGGGCATAAAATTACACATTTGTCACTACCGCGATGATTCCCCTCGCCCAAAGAAAAAATATTAAATCATTAATATGATGGTACGGATGATGGCGATACTAATGCCAACAACGATAATGACTAGATCTATGATAATGTCGATGATAATGTCTAAAGTTTTAATTTTCACTTGGCTGTAGTCACACTTTTTTACATCAACCAGGGGTTGCTTACCACATTACCCTTTATATTAGTTGTATCCCCCCCCCCCCCAAAGCTCCTTCCTTTCTCCAGCTCAGGTGGCGACTTTGTTCTGAAAATAAGTCTATTTCGTTGGCTAATTTTTCAGAATTGATGCAACAAATGTGATTTTTGTTTTGATGTGCAGTTGGTGTCATTTTCATGTGCTTAAGAAACATTTTGTCTAAATTTTAAATCATAAATGTTTTTTAAAAAGGAAACAATCTTTAATTTTTAACTTTAAAGAAAAATGAAACAATTGTTCCCTCTCTCCTGCACAAATATTGTTTTCTTGGCCAAAAACACGTTGCCGAAGATTTACTAGTCTATATATTCAGGCTTTGGATTATGTGAAGGTTTTGCTGATTGAACTGATTCCAGCAATGACAGTAGTGTTGTCCAAAAGCTCCATTTATGTGCTCACATGGTAATGAATGAGAGAAAGTGAGTGAAAGTATGGGGGTGTATGTAAGATTATGCATGTGTATGTTTGTTAGTTTGCATGTGTGTTGGGG